AATTTCTCTGCAAAAGCTTTGTTCCACAGAATCCTTTCAGACACACGGTAGTTTTGATGACGAACATGATGCTGTTTCAGAAGGGTGAGTGAGAGAGATCATGTACACTGTAGTTGTGTGTTACTCTGTCGAAAGATTAATTATAAAAATGAGAGGTGTTATTTAGTAAATGAAGGCAGGCATTTTTGTGATTTCTTTTACTTAATGGCTTTTTGCTGAAGATGTTATTAAAGAAAGGCCATAATAAATGATGGAGAGACGATCCATAAACGTGTGACTGAAAAGTCAAGGATCAGTATCCAAGAAGCTGGGAATATGAATAAACCAGAAGCCAAAGCACATGCCACGCTTACTGAGGAAGTGAGGCAGTGTGTGCACAAAGAACAAGACCTTTTCTGCAATAATTCATTTTGTTTGCGCAGCTACTTTATTTTCTGTGCCGAAGCACTCTGATTTAGCTGCATGGCAGGTGCCTGACGTAATGTGGGACACTGGCTGGCGGAGTTAATTCTTAATTAGTTCTGCCACCTGAATCTGCTGAAAACCTAACCTCTAGAGCAAAGCAGTTCACTGATGACAGCACTTTTTCTGGCACAGTTTATCTGAAGTGCATAAGGATAAAATTTTACTTTTCGTGTGCAGGACTTCATTCCACACTGGATATGCTGCTTTGGCTGAGTGGTTTTCACTTGCTACAGCCCAGGTACCATCATCTTATAAGCTTCTCTCACCCGTCCCTCAGCTCTCTCGGCAGAGCTGATTTCACATGTTCCTGACACAGCCCTCAACTACCTCACAGGAGTTGTGTCATTCATAACACCACAGACCATGGAATTAATTATTTACCTTGCGCTCAGTCTGGAAATCCCTTCCACCGATGAGCTAAGCCCCTAGACGTGGTGTGAGCCAACCCTATAGATTCCGAGCCAAAACACGAACCAGAAGAAAACAACAAGCTGTTTTACCGTATATATAAAAAGGCAATCTATGAAAAAAACTGCAACAGCCCTGAAAGATTTAGGTACTTGGGAGGCCTCTTCCCACCACTTCTTCACAACTGGAGAGTCAGCAATAAGTTATCAAACAGCTTGTGGATTTGTGGCGAGTTTTTTATGTCATTATAATACAAACGAACCAGACCTGATTCATGAAAAGAGAATGAAAAGCTGTGATTAGATTATTAACCCAAGTGTGTGGTTATCTTTGAGAGCTGAGAAAAGGGGACGATATTTGTTATTTTCATGCAAAAGCTCCCCTCCTCCCCACTGTCTCAGTGTTGGTCAGGGAGAGACACAGACCCTGCATCAGGTTCTTCTTTACAGTGTTTAAAAATTTGGCCTGTTCTTTCCTCTTATTTAGACTAATCTACCACTTTTTCTGCAGTTGATATTGTCAAACTACCAAAACCCAGAAAATTCAGAAGTATTAATTAGGCAACCTGCAGTAATTAGTTCTCTCCTACCCTGGGACAGGTGTCATCAGCTATAACCAAAGCCATTTCTCCCAAGCTAAGATATGCCAAGCAAAGCTGAAATGGTATCTGTGGTAGTTGAATATCTCTGGGCATTGCTGAACAGAGATTAAATATGGGTCAAATCAAGATTACAGACTGATCTCCTGCAAGTATTTGCACCTGGCCCCCTCAGGTCCTGTGATGGGGGACAGGAGAGCTACTGGGTTTTTGTTCTGTATCACTACTCTGTGCCAAATCATAATTATATTCTGGCACTTGAGTATCCAGCAGTTCAGAGTCTTTTTAGCTGTTATTCACGATTGCCAAACATATTTTCTATATGTTAACTGATAAATGTAATACATAGACATTTGTCTAATATAACTCCAAATTCAAGTTTAAAGAAATTGCAAAAGTTCCTCTTGAAGCACAGAGGAAAAAATATCCATCTGCTGCTTAAAATCAGTTGCTTTGGAGCAGCAGAAAAACAATTAGAAGGGAAAAAACAGAATCAGCTAAAAGAAAAAAATATAGAACTAAAAACAAGGCACTGAAATGAAATTAAAAAATAGATTAAATAAAAGGTATTTTTCTGAATTCAATCAAGGAATGGGAATGAAAATACCAAAGGTCATTTTTTGAGCTTGATTCTACAAGCATATTAATTTTTGCCTGCAATTTCCATTCTAAATAAAAAAGCCTAGATCTTGCACATATGTTCTAATAGCTGCCCATCTATTCACTTACCCATTACACCGTGTCTACAATGGTTTGCTCAAATGGAGTTACCTATGCCTTTTGTCTTCAGATAAATGGTACTGTAAATTAGCTACCATAAAACATAACACAGCTGCATCACTTTTCACAAATAAAGTACAAGGAACAATAGGCAATTCTGGATGATAAATAGAAGCAATTATCAGGGAGCATAAGTGTACTTTTTGCCATGGTAAAGGCTCATTTTACTAGTAAATACTAAGGCTGGGTGGGATGCTATCATACTGGAATAATTAATTTAAAAAAATTATCTGTGTTTAAAGAGTGAGCAGATCAATATCTATTATGATTGTTAATATCAATACATAGCTTTACCAGAAGACATTTTATTTTCCAAAACAACAGTGATCTGGGAATTAACAATAAAGATGAAATGGGACTATTCATGGTAGCATTTGTGTGATTAACCATAAGTTAGTTATTTACATAGACAAAGAATGCTGTAATTCCCAATGGGGTCCAATTAAACAACACTATTAACTAATAACATGCTACAACAAACATGCATCTTAGTCCTTCAGAATTTGGATCGAGCTAAATTGCTTTCGGAGATGTTTTTGGAAAAATTAATTTGCTGGGTTACATCCATATTTTTCTGCCACCTCTGCAGACAGGCATCTTATCAGGGCTAGAAAAATCACTGCATTTTCAGATCAACAACATGTCCTTTCTATGCTGTGGTCTTCACAGTCTGAGCAGCTCCTTCTCAAAAAGGCTTGGATTATTTTTCCATCCAGGTTTGACTACGCCACCTGAGCTGTTTCTTCCCTTTATTTAGCCTCTCCCCTGCAAAGTATGGGCCACAACAACTCACACAGTATTTTAATATCATATTATGCATTAAAAGGACCACAGCACATGTTTATATAGTCCCCAAGAAGCCCCAGTGAGGGCTGGAAGACCAGTACACTGCACACTTACGGACACGAAGAAACCTGAAGACATCTGGACCTAACGAACTGTAGGTCACACCTCCCGCTGCTTTCAGTGGAGACAAGAGCAGGCAGCGTGCAGGCACGTTACACGTGTTGGAAAGTAAGATTTGTGGCAATGTGTACGGTGTGCTTTTACAACTTGGCAGTGAAGGCTGAGTAGCTTAATGTCAAGAGGAAGGAAACGGGGATTATGATACGGCCAGAAGGATGCAGACCATTGCCAAACACCCTCCTGTCCGTCTGAATACCACTTTGTCACCTGTCCCCTGATGCTCTTTGCTCATCTGCCACTTCATTTTCCATCAAGTGGGAATTTCTTCCCACCCTTTGAGATGTCACTGACTCCCATGTCCTCCTCCACCTGCCTTTTACAGAAAGAAAGAAGCTACAAATACATTCTGAAAAAAATACTGCTTTCCCCTTGTAAGAAAAATACGACTCCTGTTCCATAAATGCTCTCTTTTTATTGTTGTGGCTTTGAAACACACCTGCAAATATCTTTTATGATCTTAAGCTTTGGGTGGCACATTTCTTGAAACTCTAGTTTCTTAGCTCCATGCCAGCATAGCCAGGGAAAAAAAAAAAAGATTAGGCACTAATAAGATCTGAATTCCCAGAGAGATCAAAGCATGAAGGCACAATTGTGGCTGGCAAAACAGTCACTGGGAAGTGTACCTAGTATGACAAGTAATTCGTCTTTCCCGACACCCACGCTGAGCAGCTTTACACCACCTCTGGTCCCCTCCTGATAAGGAAGGCTCCAGTAGATCCAGCTATAGAGAAAAGAAAGATGAATAGAGGCAAAAACACTAGTACAAATCCACTGTGTTGGCAGCAGTCTAGAAGCCACTGGATTAAACCAGGAATTAAAGTTCCCCCAGACTTCTAAAAATTAAGTAATGTCACGGCACGTAATCTCATACATGAAATGCCAAGTGAAGAAGACAGCTGCTTTAACTGCACCTGGTGAAAGGGATGCTCCTACCACGCTCTGCAGCCAAGAGGGCAGGATTTCTGCGGTTGGAGGGATTCAGTTGGTCGTAATTCAATCCTTGTGGCACTTGGCTGGAAGTAGGGAGTCTGAGTATTTTTACTACAGAGTTGGGCTCCTTCATCCTGATGCTTAGGCAACTCTGAACGTGTCTTGCTGGACACATGCAGGCCTGCATCAGAGGAGATATTGTTTCAACTGCAAATAAAAAGGCCAGGCTAGAGGTAGCAGGGTAGGGAGAAAACAGAAACAGGACTTCTAGGAGTTGGCTGGAAAATTTCTTGAGATGACAACAATTATCATTATAATACATTCTTACTCATTGGAACAATCAAAGGAGAAATGATACATGAATTTCCCACCATTGTCAGTACAAAGGAACTCTCAAGTGCACCAGCTGATAAATAAACAGGTTCTTGAAAAGCCAGGAGATGAAAGGAAAATGTTCAGGTCAGCTGGGAGCCATGCTGGACCTTTGAAGGGATTAAGGAGGGCAAGCTGGAGTCCACTGCAGATGTATGCAAAACCCTCACTGGGCAAGCTCTGCTGCACAGCCCAGACTGCACGTTGAATTTCCAGCTCTCCACTATTGAGCCTGGAAACCAGATGGTTCAAAATTCCACAGAAAGGAAACGTCCAAGGCACACAAATACTGCCTTTGCAAGCGTTTCCAGGAGTTAAGGGTGCTGTAGGAAAGGCTCATATATCAGTCTGAAAGCTCTAATAAGGACAATGTCTCTTCCGACAATAAAAATAAGCCACATAGTAGTAAGACACATTTTTGTCTCTATAAAACACACTGAAATAAATTTCCTAGTTCCACCTTTCTCACACAGTCACCACTAAGGCTTATGGCAATTAATAGCGAGATTGACCCAAGCCTCCTGTCATGATGCTTTGTTTTCACATCAGGAAAATGTGGCAAGCTGAGTGCGTTAGCTAAAATACTTTTAAATTATTTTTGTCTTCCTTGGCACATTAAAAAGGAAAACACCAGTCAAAAGTATTCTGTTGCTTAGTGATTGTAACTGCACGTTATGCACGCTTGCAGGCGAAAAGGCAGACAGAGCAAGGCCTTGGGGGTTTTTTATGTAAACTGCTGCAAAGGTAACATCCTCATCCAGGATGTGGGTTCAAACATCTCTTCAGCTTGAAGGAATTATTTTCACCTATTCTATATTAAATAAATATAATTCCATATTTGTTATCGCCTAGGGAAAAGTCATAACTTTCTGAAGTCATTATGGATTAGGACACTTTTCAACTTTCTCATTAAAAGCATATGTATATTCCCCTCTAAATATGCAAATTGTGGTAGATCTGGTTTTGAATCATCTAACTCTTCCCATCTACCTGATACTTCTGTCCTCCTCGGTTTCAGTCCCAGGACCTTGAGACCTCAAATTGAGCACTGCGGTACTTAACTGCATTTCTCATGGATCTTCCCCCGTCAACGTCCCCAGAGTATCGTTTTATTTGTCAACTTCATACTCACAAAGAAACACCAAACCAGAAGTGTACACGCAGCCAAAACAGGTCCATCCGCTTGCTTCCTCCATTTCAGGGCTAGTGTCCTTGCAGCTCCCAAGCCCACAATCACACCCCTGTGCAGGGATGAGGTGCGTCCTTCCTGGAGCTGGTACCCAGGCAAATTTGTCCTCAGCTACCTCAAAATCCCCAACGAGCTCTTGCCTGTGACGTCTTGGACAAATCACTGCATTCCTCTACACCTCAGATTCGACACCTGCAAAGCCAGGACAACAATAATGGCTTCCATGGTGAAAACTTCAGATCTGCTTCTGAAAAGTGCTACAGGACAGACATATTTTATTTATTACTGCTGTTGTCATTATAATTGTTCCTATGAAGTCCTGTCATCTCTGCAAGCTCCTTACACATGGATAAGTACATTCATAGAGCATGAATGACTGGGATGTCAGTTAAATTTACTGTGCCTCGTAATATCAATGACT